ACGAAAAATGTTGAAAAATTCTATATTAAAATAAGGAGGTAGAAAACGCATATCTTTCTTCTTCTTCTTCTGTATCAGACTTGTTCTCGAGCCGACATTAATCTTAAAGTTTAAAACCAATTAAATTTACACACGCACATTGGTCAAGGAGTATTATAGCCTTTTCTCGCTTCTTTAAACACACGTAACACTGACAACACAACCCTTTAAGAAAGACACAATTTGATATACATTTAAAACTCTTGAATATTGATACACAAGTTTTTGATGCGACCTGAATTACCAAAAACAAAAATTCTTTAACAGTGAATCAATACAAAAAGCCTTCTAACAAAGAAGTAAGTCATAAAAAAATACAGTCAGTCTGTTTTTTTACATGGAAAATCTCAGCCAAGTTTGCAGTCTTGTCAATGCTAAGAAACTATGTTCACCTGCTCATTTTCTCACAGACAAGATCAGTATCAGTTTCAAGACTGGAAGATAGTGGGTAGTACACTGGGTTTACTTCATGGATAATTTCCTTCTCCTTCCACATTTGAATTTTGGATTGAAAGCTATGATGCACAAAAGTAGTATAATCTTTGTACCATGGCAACAGTATATCCCGTGCAGGTGTAATTCAGCTTTTGCAAATTGGCTGTAACTAAGTATGTTCCAAATAGAGCTGCTTCACCTCTTAGGGAATATTAACAATCCATTTGAGCCACAACATGGTCAATAAAAAGATAATAAAAATTGACGCAATAGTGCTCTTCATCTGATATACAAGGAACATTTTGAAGGTGGCCCTGCTTAAGGACCACATGTTTTAAGTCTGGCTATACATTAATTGATGCACCCAATTGAATAGTTCCCTGTTAGAGAAGGCATACTGCTCTGCAGAACGCTGGTTGGCTATAGAATACCTTATATGGTGTGTATCAGAATGTGCTCCCAGAATGTCAATGAATTCCTCATTGTAGAACCACATACAAATGTCATGTGAAAATAAGTACATGTTGATATATGACTGCAGCAGTTATTGTATCAAAGAATTTCCTAGAAATTCTTAGTAATTTTCTCATTACTTAATTTTTTCTAGTGTCCTCTACCTCTGGTTACTTAGGATTTTATACATCACATGGAACTGAGCAACAAAAGCACCGAGACCATTTAACTTTTATGCAGATCTTGTGTGTATTGCATTGTAAATTTGTTGGCAGTGTCCACCTTCTTCCAACAGTTCAATGGCAATGCTTTCATCACATCATGGTCCTTGTCACGTCTTGCCTTAGAATTATTTATGTGATTTTGTTTGTTTGCTTGATGCTGATAAAAACTATGTAATTTTACCTATGATTGCAGTAATTTTCTCCATAAGAGGACCATCACTGCAGCTATAAGGACAAGGTTTAGAGCATGACTTCTACAATGGGTATATACTGCTTCGGCTTTCCCTTTTTCTTTTAACTTCACCAACACAGTCACTCATCATAGCCCTATCATAAACTTGTCCTCTTAGCTTTAAAATGTTTTGCTCCCACTTTTTTGCAGTTTGATATTATCATATCTGCAATAGTTGTAGCATCGAGCTTCTCAAGTGGTAGAAAATCTATGAAATCCTCACAAACTTCCATTTTTGATGGCAGTAAGTAAATTTCTCTGACGTTTTGCCATAGTGTTAGTTCTAAGTGGAGAGAGATGAGATTATGTTATTTTAACCTTCAGCAGATCTGAAGGTTTCAGTTATCTTGTTCCTGTAAATAATGTGCGCAGAAACATATCAACTGGTTGAGACAAGTCAGGAGTCAGAAATCCCACAACATGTAATGCAATTCAACAAAACTGTCGATATATTTACAAGTAGTATAGTGAATAGACCCGGCATGGCCAGGTGGTTAGGGCGCTCGACTCGCAATCTGTGGGTCGCGGGTTCGAATCCCCGTCA